TGGTCATCCTCTAGTCCTTCATCAGTGGTCTCAGGACACTGCCCACAGGACACTGTTGACTGGATATTTTTGGTTGGTGGACTATTCCCAGTCCAGCAGTGACACTGAGGTGTTTAAAAACTCCAGCAGCACTGCTGTGTCTGATCCACTCAGACCAGCGCAACACACACTAACACACCACCACCCACACGTCAGTATTACTGCAGTGCTGAGAATGATCCACCATCCAAATAGTCCCTGCTCTATGAGGGTCCTTGGGGGTCCTGACCACTGAAGAACAGGGTAAAAGGGGGCTAACAAAGTATGCAGAGAAACAGATGGACTACAGTCTGTAATTGTAGAACTACAAAGTGCACCTATATAGTAAGTGGAGCTGATAAAATGGACAATGAGCGTAGAAACAAGGAGGTGGTCATAATGTTATGCCTGATCGGTGTATATGTGATATGTATTTCATATGTACAGTGAATTAGTGGATATGTCATCATTATCTAAGTCACTCGTGGGTCGCAGGGGGTGCTGGAGCGTATCCCACCCTATCCCTGTGCTTGTTGGGCAGAAAGCAGGAAACGCCAAGGACAAGTCGCCAATCCATCGCAGGGCAGCATGAACATGCAAACCACATGGAACGCCACACAGAAAGGACCCTGGTCACCCAGCTGGGGAATCAAACCCAGGCCCTTCTTGCTGTGAGGTGACAGCTTGCCGCGCCACCATGCCGTCCATGTATATGCCATGTATATCATATATACACTCAGTAGTTCAGTGGAGGATCTCGAGGGGAACTGAAGCTCCACCAAGCAGCTGTTTTTGTTAGTTGGCTGCTTGTTGATTCATCCATAGATCTCCTATGGATGTCCAGCATGGTTTGCTAAAGGTTTTGCTTTCAAAGACATTTAAAAGCTGTATTTGAACAAGAGCTCTACAATCACAGAGTCTATCAGAGTGACATACAGCGTCGAAAGAGGAAAACAAATAAAAAAAAGTTTTACATTTTAAAGGTACACTCTGACCAGACTTTAATAACCCCCTTCTGATGACGTATTTTGTTAAAAAGGCTCGTCAGATTGAAAAAAAATACTTAATGTGGTAACAAGTAAATCAACTAGTTTTATTCAACCTAAATCATTTGTGGTGGAGTTTTGAATGCAGAAGGAAGCTGGAAGACTGATCCTACATACTATGAAGCTACAAAAGGCACTTCAAACAGCCTGTGCCCAAAAATCCACACCAACATTATTCAAAAGTACCTTTTGATACATCATCAGAAGGGGGGTTTCCTAGTCTGGCCAGAGAGTCCCTTTAACTTCGACAGCTCTAGTGTGTTGTAATAACCAAATAAACAAAATGAGGTCTTCTATTCATAAGAGGTGCAACTGATCTGGCCCCACCTAGAGTCCTGCATTATGCAAGAAGGTGTAATTACTGTCAATTGCTGGTTTACGGTCTAAGGAGTGACATCATGCGGTCTGATTTGATGACGTGTCTGGTTGTTTGCATGTTTGGCTCATTATGCATTAGCTGAACAGAAATCTACTACTTTGACTAATTCCAGCCAGGCCATGAAAATTTAGAGGCTTTGTTAAGAAGTGCCAGGTTGCTTTGCTGTCGATGGAGCTTGATAGTCTTTGTTAAGGTGACACTGATCCTGTATGATCCTGTGCAACAGGTGCTGCTGGCTGGTAATGTGATATTTTCATGTCTCCCACCACCTTACGCATGACACCATCAATATTTAACACAGCATCTGTTGGAAGGTGCTACAATTGATTCTTGTGGTCAGAAAGCGCAAAATGATAGGGAGCAATTCAAACATGGTCAGTAAACATATTAATCATGGGCACTAATCTGAGAATAAGATTATTTAATCATATAAAACAGGGATTTTGGAGTTTAAAATTAATTAAAAATGGTGTTGAATTGCACTAAATGGCACAAAAGTTTGTAGACACCTGCTTTCTTCTGAAATAAATGGTATTAATTGTGAGTTTGTGCTGCAGTAACAGCCTCTACTCTTCTGAGCATCTGATTAAGCATTAGTGAGGTCAGGTTCTGATGTTCGATGGTCAGTTCTGGGTCACTCCAACTCATCACAAAGGTATTGAATGGAGCTCCATCACTCCAGAGAACACATCTCCACTGCTCCACAGCCCAATGCTGGGGGGTCTTTATACCCCTCTAGACCATGCTTGGCATTGGGCATGGAGACCTTAGGCTCATGCATCTGCTCCAGAGAGTCTGATTTCTATTTGTCTGTCCTTTTCTATGGAGATTATGCAAGCTGTGTCAGCAATGGGTGACCTTAAAGTAGCTGAAATCACTCCTTAGATGGTTAGTCCTTCAGAAAATCATTTCTGTAAGTGAGATATGTGCAAGTTTTATGAAGATTTTTAATGTTTAACTGCTTAAAATCTCAGGCTCATTACATACTAAGGCTTATTAACCATTGTGTGGTGTTGATGTGTTTGTTACTCAGTGGTCTGGTGGACCCACCACATTATTGTTTTATAAATCAATACAGCCATAACAACTACCAGATGTTTAAAATATCATAAGTGTCCAGCGTAGAGTTCTCCTTTAGCAGCTGTAGCCAGTCAGCAGCCTGTCCATGTTGTCCACCCTCACACACACACACACACACACACACACACACACACAGACTAACAGCAGGCCATGTAGGAGAAGAACACAGTGAAGGACACAGCACCTCCACACTTTTACTCCTCGCAGGTTCAGCCTAACACCACATGTGTAATATAAATGTGTGGGGGGTGAACAGTGTGAAGACACTGAAAATGGGTTATTTTATATGTTCTTCACAGAAAATGAGCAAAGGATAAGAATCTGAGGTTGAAATAATAATAAATCGCATCATTTTTTTCTTTTGGTAAACATTGAAAAAGGGTCCCACAGATCTGAACACCACACAAGGGTTAAGCAGTACCTACAGGGACTTCAGTGCAAACTGGTTAAGCTGTTCTTAGGTTATAGACTTGTGTAATAAATCTTTGGGCCAGCCTGCAGTCCCTGGCCATTTAGGGGGTTAATGAGCCTTTACATAATGTAAGAGTTCTGGACCAAGTTAGGGTTTTTTTTCCTGGAGCTGTGAATTCAGGCCAAGAGCCATTTAGGAAGGCAGAAACACACCTGTTAGCATATTTAACACATACAGGTAAAGAACACTATTCAGTAACATCTAGTGTGTGTTTTATGCTCTTGTATCCCAAACTGTATCTGCATCAGACTGATGAATGAGGTCATGGGGTCATGTTTTAAAATGTATACTTATTTGATTTATTTAACGTTTGAAGAGTTTTGTGTTGATAAAAAAGAGATTGGAGTTTAAACAGTGGTGAGTAGCGCCGTAGTGACCGTAGTGTCACTTAGTACTGAGCATTGTGATAGTGCACTTCAATATCGGTATAAAGAAGCACAATTCTAGTATTATGAAAACCCAATCCACATTTTTTTTGATACATAGTGTATTTGTAACCAAGAATGTATTAATGATATTCTCTTATTTTGAGTTTCTATTTGAAAACTATATTCTGTGTTATTGCATTCATTAAGAAAATAAAATCAAATTAGATGTTAACCATTGCAGCTTAATCAATTGTTGTGTGGGTTTTTCCAACAGTTATTAAGCCTCATCATGGACTATGTTTTCCTTTCAGTACAAAATACTGTGTAGTCAAGGACTACACTCTTAAAAAGAGGGTTCTTCAAGGTTTCTTTAATAAAGACATGTTTATATATAGAACCATGAACACTCGAAGAACCATTTGCATGCCAAAATTCTTATTCAGATTGATGGACAATGTGTTGTATATGGTTCTATATAAAACCTTTTTGAAAAGGGTTATATATAGCACCAAAAAGCGTTCTGCCATTGTTACAATGTCAAACAACACTTTTCGGTGCTATATAGAACCATATACAACACATTCTCCATCAATCTCCAGAACAATTTCACCATGCAAAGAAGCATTAAAGCATGAAAATTATATTGTATTTACGGGTTTATATATAATCATTGGGCCTCATTCATCAGTATCTTAAGTCTGTTCTTAAGTGTGTTCTTGTGAAAGGTCCTAAGAAAAAGTCTACGTCAGATTCATGACGTGTTCTTAAAGCGCAGAACTGTTCTCACCTTTGTGCTCTTGAGTGTGTGTAGATTCTGTTCTTACCTAAGAACAAATCCCAGATAAGAAAACACTGGTGAACGTCAGAATCCTTGTCAAAACTGGGTAAGAGGGTTTTTAAGAAGAAATTTTTTTCTTAAAAACTGTTGGTGAATGAGGCCCAATTTTTGTTATTTATTGATATTTGGACCTTTATTGTTGTTAAATTTCAATATGAGCAGAATTTATTACATCCATGACCCTGTTTGGCACCTTTGCCTACACTGGTAGCTAAAAGGGTTCTACGTAGTTCCAATGAAGTCAAACATGTAATAATAGTGGCACCTTTTTTGGTGCTATATAGAACATTCTTTTAAACCACATACACGATTTATAAAATGGTTCAGACATAGAACTATGGACCATTCAAAGAACCATAGGAATGCATAAATGGTTCTTTGCATGGTTATATGGTTCTTCTCCATGATGGAGAACCAGCTGTACAAAATAGCACAAAAAGGTTCCGCAATTGCTACAAGTCATAGAACCCGTTATGCTAGGAGTGTACAATAAAATTCCCATCATAGAGAGCCATTCATGCATTCAAATGGTTTCTTGAGTTGTTGTGGTCCTTTATAATCACTGCCACTGCTAAAGAACCCTTGAAGAACCCACTTTTTTTAAGGGTGGTAGATCCTTTTTGGTAACTGTTAAAGGAGTGTGTGTACTTTTGTTGCCAGTTAGAGATGAAACAGCTGCTAATCCTGATCTAATCTATCTATCTCTAATCTCATATCATTGATCTAATCTATCTATCTTTAATCTCATAACACTGCAGTTAGAACAAATGAGGGATAATGAACGAACTGAACATCAGACTTCAAAAAAACAAAATCAGAGTTTATTACATTGTTAAACTTGATACATGTGTTCCAACGTAAGCAAACGCAGAATTCAAACCACTCGCTTTCTTGAAAGAACAGAAAAGCACCAGCATGTTCCACCAGCTCGACACCAGCGCTCCTCTCCGCCTCACTGCCCACAATGAGGTGCTCACATTGTGTCTCCTGGCTTCCTTCCCACTCCGCTCTGCCACAAGGCCCCTTGTGTAAGGCAGACTATAATGTCCACCGGCTCGGGTAACTGTTTTTGTCTTTCTCTCACGAGTAATCTTTTTCATCTCATGTGCTCAACACAGTCAACCACGCAACGTTAAAAGCAACGATAAAAAAAAGACTGAGAAATACTTTGAAAAAAGGGACCTTAATTTAAAGGTTAAGATGTAAACAGAGTCATTCAGAGTGGTTTGGTGTGAAACGCTCTGTTCTAGAGAAACTTACAGAGTCAGAATTGTTCACAGTGGTGGTGATAGGAACCAGACGTCCACCTCTAAAAGCTCCCTTGCAGGAAGTTAATACATGAAATGGATATATATACACTGCCTGATGACTGAGACACTGTTTTACGATAGTTTTTAGAATGCATAAATCCATTCATGGGGTTGTATTTGTGTTGAAGTTATGATGCCTGGTTCCTATCACCACCACTGTAATGAAAAGTCTCTACAAAGAGTCTCTGCAATCGACTGTTTCACACCAGACCCTGTTTACATCTCAAACATTGAATTATGCAGATCCTTACAAAAAAGTCACATTCAAATTGTGAAAAATCACATCTAGAAGAGTTTTGTCACATGTGAACACGATTTAATCACATGATACTTTTTCATGCAATCATTTGGTTTTTCACATGAGATAACGTTTTTTAACATGTTAAGTGTGTTTTATTTACATGCAAAATTCATGTGACTTTTCTATAAGGGGAAAAATAAGTAGAATTTACCTTTACACCCTTCTTAAAACATAAAAAAGTAAGAATGTCTATTGGGCTGGAAGGCTTTCCATTACTGCATTAGAAAATACACTCATTTGACCTTCAGGCGGACTTTTTTTTCTCCCTCAGTGCATTAAAAAGCCAACCAAATCCATCTTTTCATAGGCCGACAAATGACAAACGTTCTCCTTCATAACGGAGTCTGAGAGGGCACTCGTATTACATACCCTTGTCAAAGAAATGACACCAAACAGAGGTGTGGACAGTTTTACAGTTCCTCATTTTCACTTCATACGTAGTCTCTCCTGTCGTACCCACCGCCAGCTGTGGAGCGAGGGGCAGAGTAAGCCATCCTGGAGGGGTTGTATTTCTTCTCCTGTGGCGGGCAGGAGCAGCAGAGCAAGGAGCCGCCCATTAAGAGGAGGGCGGCGGCGGCCCAGCCGATGTAGAGCGCGGCCCCCAGCTCCCTCCGCTGCGCATCGGTCAGCAGCGGGTTGTAGAAGTCCCTGATGATGCTGTTGGCTGACCAGCATACTGGAATCAGCTGCATGAGCCCAGCCACGATGAACAGCACCCCAGCGAAGATCATGACTTTGGCCTTGGAGGACTCGTCCTCGATGCAGTTGGTGCACTTGGCGCCGGCGATGGACACCAGCACAGCCAGGACAGTCAGCAGGATGGAGATGACGGTCAGAGCTCTGGCTGCTTGGAGGTCCTGTGAGAGGGCCAGCATGGAGTCGTAAACCTTGCACTGCATCTGCCCCGTGCTCTGGACCACGCAGCTCATCCACAGGCCGTCCCAGATGATCTGGGCCGTCACGATGTTGGAGCCAATGAAGGCGGTGACCCGCCACATGGGCAGGGCGCAGGAGACGATGGCCAGGAGCCACCCCAGGACGCACAGCACGATGCCTATGAGCTCCAGACCAGCAGACATGGTCGATGTTGGGTTCCTTCTTTCTACAGCTGGTTGAGTTTCTGCAGTGATGTGAGATCCAGCCAGTGTCTCAGAGTCAGTGATGTGGTTCCTCTGCAGAAACAAGAACCCCTTTATACTCCGGCTCAGGTAGAGGGGTGGAGTCCTGCAGGGCAGTGACATCATCCAGAGGAAGGACTTAGACTCTGCTGACCTGCTTTTGCCAGCCCTGAATGATGGTACAAAACGTTATGAATTAAGGAGTAGGAGTAGAAGCCACCTAGTTACTGAACATCCATTTGTAGCTGTCGGACAAAACGTTCCCAAAAGCCCACGGCGCGTGGTAGTACCTCTCTACATCTGCCAAAAAGGAATGTCTAGAGCAGGGGTGCCAAAACTTTTTATCATGCAATGTTTGAGGTGGGCCCTGGGCCAAAAAGACAAAACAGAATACAAATAAAGACACACATTTCAAAAATGCATTTTTATCATATTGCACTATAACTAAATTTGTAACTTAAGTATTTCAAACATACAGTTTAAGAATAGCATTAAATAAGTTATACATGCAAAAATTTGTGAACTGACATTTTTTGTACACTTTATTTGCTGAATATACTGGAAATATATTTTATAGTTTGTTTTATTTTTTTCCAATATGATAAACGGTCCCACCTTAACTTTATATTAAGTGTGTCTCTAATACCTGTGTAGTTACACATGAATACCATTTGTAACAACACTGTAACTACTGATGATTTAGTCTATATTACAGATGAATTAAAGAAGTACAGCCTATATAATTACATGTGTATCAACTTCAGTGTGGCATAATGTAATCACACAAGTGTATCTTCTACACAGGAACTTTCCTGTAGTGCAGTGTTAAAGTTACACTAAAATAAGTGGGCGGTTCCTGTGTAGTTGTTATGTAGGTACTGTGTAATAATGGAGTGGTCATATAGACATTGCTTTTGAGGTAATGCAACACATTTAATAAATGTCTTAAAAGTTATGTTTTAAGATAAGGGGATGTCTGCTGTACTGTCACATAGACATACAGAATGATTTAAAGTTAAAACACAGTGTCACAGCACTGGCAACATAAATGCTAGCTAAATGTTAGGAAAGCTGGCAGATACAGTGTAAGTAATGCCTTAATGTAAGTTATTAGATTCTTTTACTGCTGGAAAAAATGCTGTTCCAGTCTGATTACAAATGTAATTACATTAGTGTTATTACCCTTGTGTAATTACATGAGAGAATAGGCTGTTACAACTATTAAGATACACTTGTGTAATTATATGATGCAAAACTGAAGTTGATACACATGTATAATTATATAATGTGTACTTCTGTAATCCATCTGTAACAGTAACTAAAGGATTAGTAGTTACATTGTTGTTGCATATATTGTTCATATGTAACTACACAGTTATTAGAGACTTAATATGAAGTGAGACCTGATAAACTTAGCATTTAGCTTTGTTCCCTGTATATGTCATGTCATTTGACTGGGGTGTTCACACATTTGCAAATGACCGTTTCATAATAAATTGTATTTACATTACATTTAAATTCCATCTGCACTCCTGACTTTTTCTGTTTGCATATATCTCAAATGCGAACACCAAGCTATTTCTGAACATTTGGGGGGCCTAAGCACCATCCTACTTGGGGGGCATCCATCCACCTCAATTATATTATTTTGTATGCAGGAATAAAAAGGAATTTATATTTAATTAATACTTAAAACTGATCAGGAAAAAAATCTAATAAATGCCAAAGTAAATGCAGTACTGAGCAGACGTATTAGTCATCAAGAACTGATTAAAAGCTACAGAGAAAATGTGTCTCCTAGCAACCACCTGGAAGACCTGGTAGACCCCAAAACTGCTCCCATCAGATAAACAGCACTTAAAGCTTTCATCTTTGAGAGAGAGGAGAAAATTAAGATGCTTCAGATCTGAAAACATCCACAGGTGTTTCTGTCCATCCTTCCACTGTGAGAAGACGACTCAGCGCTATGGGTCTGAAAGGATGTGTAACTGTCAAGAAGCACCTACCTGAGAAAAGGAGACGGACACACCAAACAAAGAAGCTGAACAATGGACTGACCACCCCAGAGTCCAGATCTCAACATCACTGAATGTGTTTGATTACTTCAGAAAATCGTCAACCAACTTCTAAGACTGAACTTTGGAGATGTGTCTGCAGATTCTTTGAGAAACTGAAAGTGAGTCTCCTGAAAAGAATGGGAGCTGGAATAAAGGAAAAGAGTGACTCACTGACACTCACACAGCTGAGAGTAGATTTAGTTGTCGAGGTTTTTATGTTACTTTCTGTTTAATGTATTTTTTGCTCATTTTACTGCTAAGAATACATAATTTGTTCTAAATGGCTGCTTTAACTGGAAATTGAATAACATAACAGTACTGAAATCCTGAAATTAATGAATAAATAAATAAAATAAATACCATACCGAAATAAATCACATTGTTTGTTTAAGTGGCATGTGCCTCATTTCCGCTTTACTAACCAAAATTATCTATAACATTTTGTACCCATATCATATTTGACATGAACAATATTAAAGAAAGAAAACACTCTTGTGGCTCAGAGGCCTCTTGTGACTCAATTGAGCGTGTCGGGTGTCGCTGCACTCACGGCTCTTTCAGTGCGATTTCGGAGATCATCCAGTGTTGTGGAACCAACGACGAACGCTCTGAGCTGTTGGAGGTTCACTGCCCACAAATCACGCTGCACAGTTATGACGGATTCACTCTTATTGAAGTGGAGAACGCAGAACGCTTTCTGCTCAGGGGTCTCATCTCCTCGCAGACTGAAGGGAGCCATCTCCCACTGACAGACAGAAACTCTATGATCCCCTCTTTCAATTGGATTATGATTGGTTCCTAGGAACCTGACGATTGGAAAAATATGCCGATTTGAAATCAGATGAATCTTTTTGAATCACCTTGTATAACAAGTAGGGGAAGCTGGGAGGGTGACAGATGCTCAGATAAGAAGTCTTCACATAAGGAGTCTCAAAGAACTGCCGTGTGATTAGCCAGACATTCATTTGTTTGGAAACTATGTCCTTCTTCAAAGAGCCACTGTTGTTGCTGCGTGTCTGAAACCTCCAATCAGCTGAGTCGATGAGCTGTGCCTCTGAGGTGTCTTTGTATTTCGGTGGGTGATGGATCCTATTTCCAGCAGGGTGACCTCAGCTTTGGCTAAACTGCAGGTGAATAACAGTTAATGTTCCTGGCTACCTTTTAAACGCTTTTACAGGATTAGTTCTAATGGTCACCTATGCAAAAACCAATGTTTATTATGGGGTTAAAGTGACACCACTGGAAACTGTAAAGCTGACAAATACGCTGATCAAGACATATGGTCACCTAAAAGTGTAACCTCAAGCATGAAATGCTCCATTCTAGAGAAAGTTACAGAGTCAGAATTCATCACGAAGCTCCCTCACAGAAAGTTATGAAGTTATGAATACACTGAATGATGTCAAATTTTAAAACTTCTGTATAATTCAGTGTGTGAGGTGTAAAAAGAGTGATTCAGAGTGGTTTGGCGTGAAATGGTTCAGATGTCTTTACAGTGGTGGTGATAGGAGCCAGGGGTCGCCATGACTACAACACAAATATAGACATTTTATTTACTATGCAAAACCACCAGTGAACCTACCATATATGCCCCACCATGAATGCATTAAAAAAATAGCGTAAACAAAGTCTCAGTCATTAGGTAGTGTAATAATAATAATAATAATAATAATAACAATTATTATTTTTTTATATTTATTATTATTATTCCACTTATTTTTTACATTTCTGCATAATTAAGTGTTTGAGATGTAAACAGTCATTCAGAGTGGTTTGGTGTGAAATGGTTCAGCCTTCTTTACAGTGGTGGTGATAGGAACCAGGGGTCGCCATGACTACAACACTAATATAGACATTTTATTTACTATCCAAAACCACCAGTGAACCTACACGAGTCTTCTGAGTTTATATGGAATGTTGATGATGGTGATAAATCTGAAGAAAGTACGTTTTCTTTGGGGGTTATTTTGCCTCACAAAGCCATGTGTGTATCCCTCCACCATGAGTGGATTTCACACATACTTCATAAAACTATCGTAAAACAGTGTCTCAGACATCAGACAGTGTATTTATGGCCATTCCAAGGAATGACGTTCGGTGAGGGAGCTTTTAGAGGTGGAGATCTGGCTCCTACCACCACCACCGTAAAGAAAATCTTGGTATAATAACCATTTGAATGACTGTTTGCATCTAAATTATTTAGACATTTTGAAAAATCCACTTTAAACCAAATTATTCATCACCATGGCTATGAATGGTGTCTCATTAAAGGTATATGCAGCGGGAGCAGAGAGGTAGTGCAGCTTGTACAGTATGTGGGGAGTCGTTTGAGGGAGTGTAGGAGTAGACCAGCTTGTTTTTTTAATTTTTGGCTCGGAGCAAAAATATGTCCAAAGCATTTCATTTTACCGTCTGTAGGATGTGCTGGAAAATCCCCAGAGACACACAAACTCATTCTGAAACATTAGACAGACATTCAGCATCATAACAGTAATTATTAGTGGGGCAACCATGGAAATGACCCTGATGTCTAAGCAGAGACCCTCGTGTCTAAGCAGAGAACCTCATGTCTAAGCAGAGACCCTGATGTCTAAGCAGAGTGACTCGAATCCTGGTTTGCTGTCTCTGAACTCCACTCAGAGCCGAGATATATGCCTCATTAAAATTTCAGCCTGAGAAAAAAACACAAACAAAGCTGATTAAATCAGGAGAATCGACCTTAAGTGTGAATTCAACCAAATTTTCACAATGCCTGAATAGTTCGTTCAGAGTGGTTTGGTGTGAAATGGTTCAGATTTCTTTACAGTGGTGGTGACAGGAACCAGGGGTCGCCATGACTACAACACAAATATAGACATTTTATTTAGTATCCAAAACCAGCAACGAACCTACACGAGTCTTCTGAGTTTATATGGAATGTTGATGATGGAAAATAGTGATAAATCTGCAAATGTGAAGTTTTCTTTGAAGACTATTTGCCTCATAGTTGTTTCCCTCAGTCATGAATAAATTACAATAAATAGAGTAAAATACATTTTAAGCCAAACTTTTTTTTCACAAAACTATTATAAAACAGTGTCTCAGACATCAGGCAGTGAATTCATAACCATTTCATGTAGTAACTTTCTGTGAGGGAGCTTTTAGAGGTGGATGTCTGGTTCCTATCACCACCACTGTGAACAATTCTGACTCAGTAAGTTTCTCTAGAACAGAGCGTTTCACACCAAACCACATTTAATTATCAAGAAATTTTGAAATATCAGTGGAGTTCCCCTTTTACACATAAATAACAATAAAACTCAGTTCCTTACATGTCTGACTCACCTGTCATTGTCGTGTGCAGTAGGTACTGCAGTACTGTTCTACTGCAGCTCACAGTGCCTCTGCTAAAGACTCGAGACTCTGACTTACACCTCAGAGACTCAAGATGCGACTTAGACTCACACTTCAGAGACTCAAGGCGCGACTCTGACTTGCACCTCAGAGACTCAAGAAGACCTTGACTCTAACCTCAGAGACTCAGAACACGACTCTGACTTGCACGTCAAAGACTCAAAACACGACTCTGACTCACACCTCAGAGACTTAAGAAGAGACTCTGACTCTAACCTCAGAGACTCAACGCGACTGTGACTTGCACGTCAAAGACTCAAAACACAACTCTGACTCACACCTCAGAGACTCAAGAAGAGACTCTGACTCTAACCTCAGAGACTCGACGTGACTCTGACTTGCACCTCAAAGACTCAAAACACAACTCTGATTCACACCTCAGAGACTCAAAAAGAGACGCTGACTCTAACCTCAGAGACTCGACATGACTCTGACTTGCACCTCAAAGACTCAAGAAGTGACTCTGACTCAAACCCCAGAGTCTCAAGACGCAACTCTGACTTGCACCTCAGAGACTCAAGACATGACTCTGACTCGCATTTCAGAGACTTAAGACGCAAATCTGACTTGCACTTCAGAGACTCAAGACGCGACTCAGACTCACACTTCAGAGACTCAAGGCTCCGCTTTGACTTGCGCCTCAGAGGCTCAAGATGTGACTTGGACTCACACCTCAGAGACGCAATACAACTCTGACTCGCACCTCGGAGACTCAAGATGTGATTCTGACTCGCACCTCAAAGACTTGAGACGATTTAGTCTCACACCTCAGAGACGCTAGATGCAACTCACACCCCAAAATCTCGTAGTGTGACTGACTCACATTCCAAAGACTCAAGACGCAACTCTGACTCGCACCTCAGAGACTTGAGATGCAACTCTGACCTGCACTCCAGAGACTCAAGATGTGACTCTGACTCAGTCCCAGAGACTCAAGATGTGACTTTGACTCAGTCCCAGAGACTCGGAATGTGACTCTGACTCAGTCCCAGAGAATCATGACGTGACTCTGCCTTACACTCCAGAGACTTGAGTTGTGACTCAGACTTGCATAAAGAAACCTGTAGTCATTTCGACATTCCATAAATTCTTTAGATGGTTTAAGACCATGGACTCAAATATGTGCCAAGGTATGAGGTGTGCTTCCCAAAATTTAGACAGTCTGTGTGTGTCTGGATCTGAACTTTGTCCTAGTTTGTCAGCATTGCCTGTATATGTACTTCATATATTATTTATGTGAGAATTTGCCTTTCCCTTTACTTTTCAGGATCCCTTTAGATGTGTTAAAGGGGAATTCCACAATCCTTTCACATTTTCTGCAAAATTAAATGATTGCGATGTAAACAGAGTCAGTCAGAGTGGTTTGGTGTGAAACGCTCCGTTCTAGAGAAACTTACCAAGTCAGAACTGTTCACAGTGGTGGTGATAGGAACCAGATGTCCACCTCTAAAAACTCCCTCACAGAAAGTTACTACATGAAATGGTTATGAATTCACTGCCTGATGTCTGAGATTATTAGAGAGGTCTTTGAGAGGTTATGAGGAAAAATAGTCCCCGAAGAAAAATTATTTCAAATTTTCCTCTATTTTATAATCATTAGCGTCCATATAAACTCAGAAGACTCGTGTAGGTTCACTGGTGGTTTTGGATAGTAAATAAAATGGCTATATTTGTGTCGTACACACTGAAAAAGATGGTTCTTCAAGGACTTTTTAGTAAAACAGATGCATCTTTTTAGAACCATGAACTATTTCATGATTAAATGTTTCTTTTCATGGTGAAATGGTTCTTCCAATTGAGGGAGAATGTGTTGTATATGGTTCTGTATACAACCTTCTCAATAATGGTTCACCAAAAAGGGTTCTGCTATTGTCACGACATCAAGCTATATAGAACCATATACAAAAGATTCTCCATCAATCTGAAGATCCATTTCACCATGAAAAGAACTATTTGAGCATGCAAATGGTTCTTTGAGAGTGTATGGTTCTATACAGAATCATTTTCTTTACCAAAGAACCCCTGAAGAACAATCTGTTTTGAGAGTGTAGAGCAAAATCAATCAACCACTTCACACCAAACCACTCTGAATGAGTTTCTTTACATCTTAACTGCTGAATTATGCAGAAATGTTTAATTGTCCTTTCAGTCACAGTCTGTGTTTTCACTCACCCACTCTTACCTTCCTGAAATGTGACCCCTATGACCCCTTCCGTGTTTGTGGATCTTATGGGTGTTCTCTCATCACTTCAGCGCTTTAACTACAGGGATGGGCTTCGGACACGGCCCAGAAACTCAGATAGCGCGCTTCCCTGACATTCCACAGCCAGCCACCTGGCCTCAGTCCTCCTGCCCTGAAACAGCTTCATTGTCCCAGGGTGGTTTGGACAGTTGGATTAGGGCCCTAACAAAGCAAGATTCTTGTCCGGAAAGCTAATAGACTGTGAGAGGCGGGTAGATAACTACACTGACAGAGGATCCAACTCAGCACCTCATTATTGAAGACTTGGAGGCTTGTTTGAGACTGTTTGGCTTCCTAGATTCCACATCTTTCTGATTTTTTTTTTGATATTTTATGAAGGCTGACGAATGGGTGATGCTGAAAGTGGCTGCACTTATTACCTAAAATATTTAAAAATAAATTAGGAGGATAGCATCAAACCCCAGAACTGATAAAATTAATGTTTGGATTGAAAGACAATTTTAAAATGTGTGATTAAGACACATTTTATAGCATCAAAGTCTTCATATAATGCAGTTCAGTAGATAAAGGAGAAGTCCATTGATTTTTGCAAAATTTCATTGCTATGATATAAGCAAAGTCATTTAGAGTGCTATGGTGTGAAATGCTCCATTACAGAAAAACCCTGTTTTGTTCATAATGGTGGTGATAGGAACCAGACGTCTAAAGGCCTCTAAATGCTCCCTCACATAAAGCTGTCATACAAAATGCTCACAAACACGTTGTTTGCCACATTGTTTTACAACAATATATTATTTATATTCATTCATCATGGAGAGGTATATGTGGGTATTAGGAAAAATAGTCCCTAAAGAAAACTTTTTTTCAGATTTATCACTTATTTATCACATTTTACCATCATCAACATTCCATATAAACTCAGAAGACTCGTGTAGGTTCACTGTGGTTTTGGACAGTAATAAAATGTCTATATTTGTGTTGCAGTCATGGCAATGAGTTATGTTTTATCATGACGCCTCATTCCTATCACCAACTCTGTGAAGAAATGCGAGATTGTGGGTTTCACAATCAAACCACTCCGAAAGACTTTCTTTACGTCCCAACCACTGAATTACACAGAGATTTTGGAAAGTTATTGGAATTGTGCTTTAAAAGGTGGTGAAAGTAAAAGTGCTTAAGCCCGATCCCAGATCTTTATACCTTTAAAACAGCAGTCATTTTAGGAAATAGTTGTTTATTTAACTATAATACAGAACATACTTAACAGGCATGAATTTTAATACAAAGACACATATACAGTTTTACTTGGCCTTTTTAAAAAAAAAAAACATGCGTAATTGTTCTACCATTGTGGAATAAGACATACAAACACAATAACCACGTTTAATTTCCCATCAGCTGAAAGAAAAAGAGAAATTAAGCCACTTTACAATTGTGATAGCCACCTTGCTGTACAGTTAATATGCAACCAGAGACAAAATATACAGAATGACTCTTCTGAATGATCTTTGGACGACAACAATGACAGAAACAAAATATTCGGCCCGTATGCGCTCCTGCTTCCAAACACACAGTGCTCCAGTGCACAGACTTTGTTCTCTTTTGGGTCAGGATGTTATCAGTCTGATGAAAGCAGGTAAAAGGTTAGACTCTTACCAAAGATCTCTCTTGGCAAAGCATTGGCTCAGACATAGTCCCTTCTGTCGTAGCCGCTGGGAGCTGCAGATCTGGTGGTGGAGTAGACCATCCTGCTTGGTGGAGCGTACCTTTTCTCCTCCCGTGGGGGGCAGCTGCAGCACAGAATCGCTCCCCCTATGAGCAGCAGAGCTGCGGCCGCCCATCCCAGGTAGAGAGAGGCGCCTATCTCTCGTTTCTGCGCGTCCGTCACCACCGGGCTGTAGAAATTCACTATGATAGCATGGGCAGTCCAGGACACCGGGATTATCTGCATGATGGCGGCGCAAATGAACGTCGATCCGGCGGCGATCATTACTTTGGCCTTGGTTCCCTCCTCATCGATGCAGTTAGTGCACTTGGCCCCTACCACGGAGACCAGAACCCCGAGCACCCCCAGCACTATGGAGATCACGCACAAAGCCCGGGCGGCCTGCAGGTCTGAGCTGAGGGCCAGCATGGAGTCGTAGACCTTGCACTGCATCTGCCCCGTGCTCTGGACGGCACAGCTCATCCAGATTCCCTCCCATATGATCTGCGCCGTCACAATGTTGGAGCCGATGAAGGCCGTGACCCTCCACATGGGCAAGACGCAGGATATGAGGCCGATGATCCACCCCAGAGTCGCCAAGGTGACGCCCAGTATCTCTAAACCCAGAGCCACCATTCTGTACCCTTGAAAAGTGCTTCACTCCACCACAGATATCATAAACTGAGGGAGGTTCTCGACAGTGGCCCAATGCTTTATAACTATCTCCGCAGGGGAAGGAGGGGTTTTGACGGATGAGGCCTCCTGGGGATTGGTCAAACTTTTCAAAATAAAGTTTTTTCCCCTCCTAGTGTAACCTTGGCATGGAAACTTCTGTAATGATTCAGTGTTCTGCCCCAACACAAGGGAAGTGAATTGATAACCAGGGCCCAGGGGCGTCTGGTTAAAGGATAACTGGTAGGTTACACTTAAACCACAAAACGAACAAAACCTCAGGAGACAAGTATGACCTGGGAGTGTGGTCTGCAAACATGAACAACCACAAGTGGCGCATTCTATCACAAAAGCAGAGCCAGCTATGCAAAACAAAGTCACATAAAAGTGTCATATAAGGATCTATGCTGGGTAATAAAGTGGTGATTCATTTGTTGACATGAAATGCTAATGGAAACTCTTCTGAATGGTGCGTTTCCTTGAAGGAAGACCGAATGGATGACACTAAAAAGTGGAGCAAACAGTCTGTCACATGACCAAAGCGCAATCACAGCCCACGTCTTTGTTTCAGTGTCACAAAACATAAATATTTAGTGTCCATTCCACTTATCAAGGACACATACAAGGTTCCTGGTGACCTACTTTAAGCCTTTATGCACTGGTCATTTTACTTTTATTTAGGAAGTTTTAAGGAAACTAAAGAAAAACAGAAACCAGCTCCATCTTTATTAGCACCCTAAGGGTAAACGGGTAGAAATCTAACCTTTCATTAAAGAAAATTTAGTCTGAGAAAACACAAAAACCTCACAACAAAATGTAACTGAAGCATGTTCCCATTTACTTACATATTGATAATCCATCAGACAATAATGCATTAGAATTCATTTGACTGCTAGAGACATTTGATTTGAAGCAGCACATGTGCAGCTTGACCCACAAGCTCAGTCACAACGTGGATCTGGTGATGAAAGGTTTAAACACAAATGTGTCCCAAATCTCTGATGATTTCTCGTCAGATCATTTCTGTGCTTTCTTTCAAGTCAGTGTAGAAGTAAGGAAAAAAGTGCCTTTAAAGTTACTTTGAAAAGTGTTACATGAAGTCAGAAACAGCTGAGAAGCTTTGAGAATATTTATAAAAGTTCAGCGAATACACCTCTGACTTCCTCCTGTAATGATCTGGTCTCTTATTTAAATACTAGATTAAGGAAACTCTTGACACTCTCGCTCCAGTCAAATGGATGAAAATCAAGCATACTTGTAAAAATCCGTGGAATGAGGAAATATGCCAGCTCAAGAGAAATTGCTGTAAAACAGAGCACTTATGGAGGAAAACTAAACTGCAGGTACACTATGATATTTTCAAAGAGCAGATCTCCAGTCATACCTCTCTAGTGTAATTAATAAACACGAAGATAATACCAAAGTCCTTTTTTTTCACCATAGACCGACTAATTAACCCTAACTCTTCTGCTAGTGTGGTGAATGGTGCTTTATCTTCTAAAATCTGTGAAGAGTTTGCAATTCATTTTCGAAAAAAAAAGACTTGATGAGACAGACTACAGCTCAGCTGACTGAAACAAACTCCTGTAACCTTCCTGATAAGCCACCTACATCAGTAATGACATCTTTCTCTGCTGTCAATCATCAGCAGCTTACAAGTGTTATAAACAAAGTAGGTTTGTCCACATGTGATCTTGACCCTGTTACTATTTCATTTCTTAAGATGGTTTTGATTGCATTCAAAATGATGGCTTAACAATTGTAAACTGTTCTCTGTCAACAACGACGCTTTGGTGAAGCCCCTACTGAAAAAGAGTAGCATGGATTCTTCCATACTAGAAAATTTTAGACCAATTTCGAATCTTCCTTAGAAGAAGCTTTAGAAAAAGTTACTTTCATGCAATTAAATGCGTATCTTATTTCAAACAAGTTATATGAGAAGTTTTAATCAGGTTTTTGTTCTAACCATAGTACTGAGACAGCATTGGTTTGTATTATGAATGACCTCAGGCTCAGCACTGATGCACAAAATCCTTCTATTCTGGTCTCACTGAATCTTAGTGCAGCTTTTGATGCCATTGATCATGAGATTCTAATACACCATCTTAAATACTGGTCAGGTCTCTCAGTCCCAGTTTTAGAATGATTTAAATTACTAAATTATTCACTGGGAAATCATTCATCAAAAATATTTAACATTTTTTGTGGAGTCCCATAGGGTTCAGTTTTAGGGCCTTTGCTCTTCTCTTTGTACATATTGCCTCTAGGTGATTTAATTAGGAACCATAATGTAAATTTTCATACCTATGCTGATAACATGCAGTTATACATTTCAATTTCTTCTGATGATCAAGACTCTGTATACAGGCTGACCAGCTGTGAATCTCACAAAATTTCTTACAACTTAATAATTAGAGAACTGAAACACTGATACTTTGTACTAAAACTCAAAGAAAAATGCTTTATTAAAAGCTTGGCTCTTTAGCCCCGTATACCAAACCTGAATTAGGAAACCTCGGTGTGATCTTAGATTCTGAGCTCATGTAAACGTTGTCATGAAAGTAGCTTTTTATCATTTGAGAAAGAGAAGAGAAACTTGTTCATGCCTTTGTTACAAGCAGAGTTGATCACTGTAATGATCTTCTTACTGGGCTACCTAAGAAAACAATACATCCTCTACAACTCATACAAAATGCAGCAGCACAGATCCTAACAAAAACACAAAAGAGAGATCATATTACTCCCATTTTGAAACTGCACTGACTGCCTAGATCTTTCAGGATAGATGTAAAAATTTTGCTCCTAGTTTTTAAGGCTCTAAATGACTTTAAAGCTCCACTTACCTCACAGAGTGTCTATCTATGTTCCAACCTGTGATCTTAGATCTGCAGATACTGACCTTCTGCAAACACCTTCTGTAAAATACAGAGACTCTGTCTGTTATTCTGCTTCTAAACTGTGGAGCTCAGTTCACACGTTTAAGAAATATTTGAAAACATATCTCTTTAGCTTAGCGCTCAATTAAGAAATCTCTTTGGTATTTGTCTGTAACTTGATCTCTCATTGTCGTGTCTGTTACTGTCAAATATTATCACCTGTCTGTAAAGCACTTTGAGCTGCCACCAATATGATGTGTTCTATAAAAAAAGATATGATTATTATTATTATTATTATTATTATTATTATTTCATTTTGAGTAGACTTGAGTATTCAAGAACTCTTAAGCCGTTTATCCATGATTTCCTGTTTCACTGTGGTGTAAACATGAGGTGACGCAGAGGCCACATTCCCTCATTTATTAACCCCTTAAATGGCCAGGATCCAGATTTCTATTACACACTTCTATAGCTCAACCAGTCTGTACTGAAGTCCCGGTAGTTACAGAATAATAAGCCTTAGTATGTAATAAGTCTGGGATTTTAAGGGGTTAACATGTGGAAGAATGTTCAGAGAATACGCAAAATGAATTGAGACAAAAGTGTGTCAGCTTTCAGAAATCAGGCAATGGCTATAAAAAAATAGGTCAGTAATAAAGAAGCTAAAAAACAACCAGAGCTGTAGTGAACCTCTCTGGAACAGAATGCATGTTTATTTTACTTCCACACACAGTAAGGAAGATGATTAGAAAGGCAAAAATGTCACCAAGTATCACAGTTGGAGATTTACAGATGATGGTAGCATTTTGAGGTCTCCAAACCTATTTTTTGGTGTGTCAGAAGAAAGCATTTTCTCAAGATGGGTTTGGCATAAAAAGAAGGACATTCATGCCAAAAAAAGGATCTCTTCCCCACTGTTAAGTATGGTGGAGGATTTGTGGTATTTTGGTGCTGTTTTTCTTCCAAAGGTCTTGGGAACCCTGTTAGGACACATTAGATCACGGACTCCATGAAGTATCAGGAGATTTTAAATGAAAATCTGGCTGCCTCCGCCAAAAAGCTAAAACTGGGTCATGGTCAGATCTTTCAGCAAGACAGCCATCCAAAACATACACACAAATCCACACAGAAAGAGTTCAAAGAGCACAGAATCAAGCTTTTGGCATGGCCACCCTCGTCCCCTGACCTAAACCCTACTGAAAAACTGTAGAGTGAGCAGACGAGGACAGTCTAAAAGAGAGAAGCTACAGTAGAAGCCTGAGGGATCTGGAGAGATTCTGTGTTGAGGAGGGCTCTCTTTTTGTCTACACTAAATTTATGTCAGTTGAAGGGTAGAAAAAATTGTAGAGATTTGTCTCATGTGTTCAGTGTGATTTTAAGAGATTTGTCTTGTGTGTTAAGTTTGATTTTTCTCTTGTGTTCAGTGTGATTTTAAGAGATTTGTTTCATGTGTTCAGTGTGATTTTAAGAGATTTTTCTTGTGTGTTCAGTGTGATTTTAAGAGATTTTGTCATGTGTTCAGTGTGATTTTAAGAGATTTGTCTCATGTGTTCAGTGTGATTTTAAGAGATTTTTCTTGTGTGTTCAGTGTGATTTTAAGAGATTTTGTCATGTGTTCAGTGTGATTTTAAGAGATTTGTCTCATGTGTTCAGTGTGATTTTAAGAGATCTTTCTTGTGTGTTCAGTGTGATTTTAAGAGATTTTGTCATGTGTTCAGTGTGATTTTAATAGATTTTTCTCTTGTGTTCAGTGTGATTTTAAGAGATTGTTCTCGTGTTCAGTGTGATTTTAAGAGATTTGTCTCATGTGTTCAGTGTGATTTTAAGAGATTTGTTTCATGTGTTCAGTGTGATTTTAAGAGATTTGTCTTGTGTGTTCAGTTTGATTTTAAGAGATTTGTCTCATGTGTTCAGTGTGATTTTAAGGGATTTGTCTCGTGTGTTCAGTGTGATTTTAAGAGATTTTTCTCTGTGTTCAGTGTGATTTTAAGAGATTTGTCTCATGTGTTCAGTGTGATTTTAAGAGATTTGTCTTGTGTGTTCAGTTTGATTTTAAGAGATTTTTCTTGTGTGTTCAGTGTGATTTTAAGAGATTTGTCTCATGTGTTCAGTGTGATTTTAAGAGATTTGTCTCATGTGTTCAGTGTGATTTTAAGGGATTTGTCTCGTGTGTTCAGTGTGATTTTAAGGGATTTGTCTCGTGTGTTCAGTGTGATTTTAAGAGATTTTTCTCGTGTTCAGTGTGATTTTAGGGATTTGTCTCATGTGTTCAGTGTGATTTTAAGGGATTTTTCTCGTGTGTTCAGTGTGGTTTTAAGAGATTTTCTCATGTGTTCAGTGTGATTTTAAGGGATTTGTCTTGTGTGTTCAGTGTGATTTTAAGAGATTTGTCTTGGTGTGTTCAGTGTGATTTTAAGAGATTTTCTCGTGTGTTCAGTGTGATTTTAAGAGATTTTCTCCTGTGTTCAGTGTGATTTTAAGGGATTTGTCTCATGTGTTCAGTGTGATTTTAAGAGATTTATCTCTTGTGTTCAGTGTGATTTTAAGGGATTTTTCTCATGTGTTCAGTGTGATTTTAAGAGATTTTCTCATGTGTTCAGTGTAATTTTAAGAGATTTTCTTGTGTTCAGTGTGATTTTAAGAGATTTGTCTCATGTGTTCAGTGTGATTTTAAGGGATTTGTCTCGTGTGTTCAGTGTGATTTTAAGAGATTTTTCTCGTGTTCAGTGTGATTTTAAGAGATTTATCTCTTGTGTTCAGTGTGATGCTTGTCCAGTCTATGTACTTAAACTAGACATGTAAATTCAACTAAATGCTAAACTAGCAACAACATGTTTACCACCTCTGCATTGTAAGTGGTGAGTGGTAACAAACTTGATTGTTCGTTTGTATGGAGCATTTGAAACTGTACATGTTTTAGCAAATGAAATCTCTTTATTTAGCATAGAGGGACTAAAAGTAACATTGTGTCCAACTTCAAGTGCTACATGTGTGATTTGACTAGCTTTCCATTTTTGAGGGCTGCATGATTTCACAACTCCAACAATATCATCTAGTTCGCTGACAACACAACAGTAGTGGGCCACATCGCTAACAACAATGTGGAAGCATACAGAGAGGAGGTGAAACACAGTGGTGCACAGACAACAATCTCTCCCTCAATGTAAACGAAACCAAAGAGATGATTCATGATTTCAGGAAGATCATCGAGAGGATCATGCTGGAAAGAGTGAACTGCTTTCAATTCCTCATTCACATAGCTGAGGGTCTCACCTGGTCAGTCAATACATCACACCTCGTCAAAAAGGCCCAACAAAGCCTTCATTTCCTCAGAAAGCAGAGGAGAATCAACCTGCCACATCAGCTCCTCTGCAGCTTCTACAGGTCCACAGTGGAGAGCCTCCTGGCCAGCTGATCACAGTCTGGTACAGCAACTGCTACGGAACAGAAGGCCCCACACAACCCACACACCCCAGGCACTTCCTGTTCCACCTGCTACCATCTGTGAAGGGATATCAAAACATTCGAGCTAGAACCACCAGGCTGAAGAACAGTTTCTACCCTCAAGCTGTTAAACTGGTCACACCCACAGCTCCCACCAGATCATGAGTACAATAAACCACTCCAGTTATATGTGCATTGCAGACTGCACTCTCCATATTACTGCCGAATGACTTCTTAAGTACTTGATTGAACACTTGAACAAACATGCATTACACAGTTTACTGAACACTTAAGTATATTTTATTCACTGGACCTTCCTCTGAGAGTGCCACACATATTTTGCACGCTCTGTCTATACACTAGCACACTTCTGTGTCTCTAGTTTAGTCTGTGTTTACTGTCTATTCATTGTTTTTGTACTTATCCTGAACGTGTTTTGTTATACTGTACCTCCGTTTTATGTATAATAACAATAAACTTGAACAGAATTGAATTTCATGGTCCTCAAAACTCTTTGTCCTTTGTGAGACAAGATAATTAGAAGATAAAGGTTCCTTTCTCCTGTTTACTCATGGTTCTCAAATTCCTCTGCTTTCATAACATCATTAGCACTTAGGTTAACTGAAAAGCTCATTTATGGCTGATTTCCTTCTCTCAAAAATGATCACCAGCTAAACAAAGAAATGCCACAGCCACTGGGCTTAAATGTTAGCTTCAGCAATCAATGAAGCTATTGAGGACCTGGGCCCAGAGAGGTATCCACCTAGCAGGTGCTTTCATCTCACAGTGGCTAGTTTCAGTTACGGTCAATGGACACAAAGGAGCAGCAGAAGGTCCCAGAACAACGGTCACATTGTCACGTCTACACTGAAGCAGAGAGGCTAATTTTGAATGTGCAGCAGCTCCTTAAAAGCTGGGTAGATTTCAAAAGATATGGGGCACTTTGCAGTGAGCATCCTTTGTTTCTTAGCCTAGCTAGCTTAGCTTTGCGGAGTCTCGGGTTTCCTGTTTCTTCCACAGTTGGGAAAGAAAGAATTCCAGAAGGCATTAATGCTGATTGTTCTCTGATAAGAACTTTATTGCTTTCAAATAATGTTTACATTACTAAGCCTTGCATTGGCCTTTAACCTTATAAATGCACCTATGAGGAACTTCAGTGGATGCTTTTTTGACAAATGAATGCAGAACAGTTATTGTGATGCAAAATGCCATCAATAAAAGTAAACATTTGTTCTATGAGTTGGCTTATTGTCCTTAAAGGGGAATTCACCCATTTTGATTTCACTTGAAATGCTTCATTGTAGAGAAACCTAATTCAGACTTCTTTACAGTGGTGGTGATAGGAACCAGGGGTTGCCATGTCTACAGCACAAATATAGCCTTTTATTTACTTTCCTAAATGGCCAGTGAACCTGCACCTTAAACATATCGTGAAACAATGGCCTACAGGCAGTGTATTCATGACCATTTCATTTGAGGTAGCATTTAGAGGCGGACGTCTGGTTCCTATCACCACCACTGTGAAGAGTTCTTACTTGGTAAGTTTCTCTAGAATGAAGCATTTCACATTAAACCAATCAGAATGACTTTCTTCACATATGAACCAGTTAAGTGTCAGTTAAGCAGTATTAACTCTACATGACTTTCATAGTTCTACCTGTATCATTACTTTATACATCACAGATATCTTGGTGCCATTTACTGCAAGTTCCAGCACTCTGAATGCACGTCTCTTGCCTGTGTCTCATTTGCTGACCTAGGCTGCTTTCAAACAAGCATAAAGACCACTCAAACATAGTCCCTTTTGTCATATCCAGTCGCAGCCATGGATTTCACCGTGGAGTAATTTGCTCTGGTCGATGCAGGGCGTCCTCTGGAAGGACATGAGCAGGACAGTATGGCTCCCCCTAGGATCAGCAGGCAGGAGGCGCCCCAGCCGAAGTACAGCGAGTTCCCGAACTCCCTCTTCTGGGTCTCCTGCAGGAGCGGGTCATGGAAGTCCAGGATGATGGTGTTGGCCGTCCAGCACACGGCCACCAGCAGCAGCAGCCCGGCCCCGATGAACGCCCCTCCGGAGCCCAGCATGATGCGCGGCTTATTGGATGCATCCGATGTGCAGTTGGTGCACTTGGCCCCTGCCACCGCGAGAGCGATGCCCACCACCCCGACAAATGTGGAGACCACGGTGAGGGCACGGGCCGCCTGGAGGTCCTCAGGAAGCCCCAGCATAGAGTCGTAGATTTGGCAGTGCATCTGCCCCGTGCTCTGGACCACGCAGCTCATCCACAGGCCCTCCCAGACCACCTGTGTGATCACAATGTTCTGGCCTACGTATGCCGCCACACGCCACATGGGCAAGCAGCAGGCCACCATCACTCCCAGCCAGCCGGCCACGGCCAGAATCATGCCCAGGATCTCGAGGCCGGCTGAAGCCATCGTCCCAAGAGCTCCGCAGACTAACGTCCTCTGTGTCCCTGACACAGCCCTGGAAAATAGCGGTGCGATATTAGACTCCCAGCAGTGGATGAAGCTTTCTTAAAGGGAGACTGGTGAGGGAGGGAGGAAGAGAGGGTTGAGAGAGGGAGCGAGAGAGGGAGAGAAACAGATTCTACCTTCTTTATAGTGCAAAGAAGTTTGAAGGTGGAGTCAGACCACGATGGCATCATTTTTGCACTGGTATAAGAGCAAACAGGGACCCTCTGTCACTTTTTTTTACCATCAGGTGGCACAGTCAAATCCAAACAACTAGCAGTCTAAGGCACCTTGATGGTGGAAATATGCTAATGCACTAGTGTTGTTTTTCAATGGAACCCTAAAACTGCAAACTTATTATTGTTATTAGGATGTATAATTCAGTAAATACAATGAATTATTCAGGGTTTAGTTCAAATTATTAAGTATTTACTACGAATTATTCAGTCACTACTAATGAATTATTCAGTAGCTACTATGAATTATTCAGCAGCTACTATGAATTATTCAGTTCTTACTACAAATTATTCAGTACTTACTACAAATTATTCAGTAACTGCCATGAATTATTCAGTTACTACTTTGAATTATTCAGTTTCTGCTATAAATTATTTAGCAACTACTATGCATTATTCAGTATGTACTAAACATTATTCAGAAGCTACAATGAATTATTCAGTAGCTGCTATAAATTATTCAGTAGCTACTAGAAATTATTTAGTAAGTACTATGAATTATTCAGAATCTACAATGAATTATTCAGTAGCTACTATAAATGATTCAGTAGCTACTAGAAATTACTTAGTAACTACTATGAATTATTCAGTATCTACAATGAATTATTTTGTAACTACTACAAATTATTCAGCAACTATTATGAATTATTCAGTAGCTACTATGAATTATTCAGTAACTGCTACAAATTATTCAGTAGCTACTATAAATTATTCAGTTAATATTTTGAATTATTCAGTACCTTCTATACACTATGCAGTACCTATAATTAATTATTCAGCATCTTCTATGAATTACCTTACAGACCGACATTATATGAAATGGAATGCAATGCTTATGATTGTGGAACCAAACTGCTGGGTGCTTCTATTAATGCTTGCATCTATATAATGCAATAGGTTTGATAATCAAGATGATGTTCATTGCTATGTTTTCTTTGATTGTAAGACTAACAATAGGCTTTTTTTCCAGAAAACAACACCAGCAGCTAAAATTACTCCAAATGAGTAGCTTTTTGCCCTTTGTAACTAAGAAATTATAAGGTTTGAGTTTCAGGACAATTGTGCTTTATTCTGAAGTTTGCTATGTAGCCTGTCATTGTGCAGGAACACAGGGGTTTTCAGGCTGAAATGGGACTCCACTGGTGTCTCATATGGGCATTTCTCCCATTAACCTTGAGAAAAAAACTGCTGAATCACCTTCTCAATAAGACGTGTGTGAAGGCTGGACAATTCCGCTCTTTGTCTGTAGAAGGAGTAAGAGACGTTACCCGATCTCAGATTATCTTCCTTGTGTAACGGTTCAGAATTCCACTAGCTGGACTCATAAGCTGAGTCGGGCGGCTCTTGATTATGTTTTGATGGACTACACTGAAATGAATTTGCAGCCCATACGCCCAAATACTTTATCCCTAAGAAAATGACTGTGGTTGTGACGCAAGCTGCTTGCTTAAATGTTTATTTAATATTATGTATCAGAGGTGGGAACAAGTCACTAAGTTGCAAGTAACAAGTAAGTCTCAAGTCAAGATAGTCGAGTCTCGATTCAAGTCCCGAGTCAGTACAGACGAGTCTCAAATTGAGTCCCAAGTCAATAGTGCTAATTTTCGAGTCCTAAACAAGTCAGTCTGCGTTCTTCAGCTAATTTACGGCCATAACACTGAATAATGGTAACAGCATTATAGCCTTTTAATGACAGCACGTTAGCAGTGTATGGCTGTGTATTCAGTATTTTTAATGAACTTAATAAAAAAAACTTTTCCGTTCCACGTTTCCGTCACCATTTAGGTGGAATGTCAAATTTCAATATCAAGCTGGTGAATAACAAGTCAACTTCATCCTCGCAGTGGATGTTGCGCTTGTTTTACCTGCATAAGCTGTTAAAATCGGTCAGTTTGCCTGGTGAGTTTCTCCACTAAGACTGGAGTTTAAGTGCTGAGCGAGGGAGCATTGATGCTGTTGATGCTTCGCTTGTTACCAGCTTATGGAGGCGAACTTGAGCTCTAACGCATCCCTTCTGAAATAAAATAAACCAAGCATACATTCAATTTTCAATTATTCAGAAAAATCAGGAAACAAATCCATTCCCATGATAAGTAATCGACTGTGTGGAGTCCCGTCTGCAGTCAGACTCTCCACTAGTCTTCCAAGTCAAGAAGATGGTCCGAGTCAGAGTCCCAGTCACTGGTGTTGAAGTCAAAGTGGAGTCCCAAGTCTTTCTCGATTCGAGTCTAAAGTCATCAAATTCGTGACTCGAGTCAGACTCGATTCATATGACATGGACTCGAGTTGGACTCGAGTCACGAATTTGATCACTTTAGACTCGTATTGAGAAAATCGAGAAAGCCTTGGGACTCGACTTTGACTTCAACACCAGCGACTCGGACTCTGACTCAGACTTGATCGTCACTCGGAAAGACACCTCTGTTATTTATTAAGAAACATAAGTAATAGGTAAGGAATGTCATATGGGGAGGGTGTGCGCTCTGACATGTTTCCTCATTGTGTATTATATGGTAAACTGTGTTACACTGTTAGCCGCCAGCCAAAAACGGCTCTTCAGTAAAAGTTATTCATTTTTCAACATCTAGAAAAAAATCAGAAACCATATATTTAAAGCTGCACTCTGTAAGTTTTGGGGATTTGGGGGGACCTCTCTGGTGGAAACGTGTAATTGCATGCATAACATTTTGTAGTGAGGGTTGTGCTTTGGCCCCCTTCCCTGAGCACATGAATGTGATGACTGAAAGAGAATTCGAAGAGAACTCAGTCTAAACTTGGTGAAGTACACGTTTTCTGAGGATGTGAATTATCTACTATTGTCATCATATCTTCATCTTTATCAGTATAATGTTGATTTTGAGATTATTTGAGACCCAAACATCAAGTTGGACCTTCTTTTTAAGTCTATGTGTGTGACATTAATATGTAAAAATGTACGATGTGGTGTGAAGAACTCCTGACTCTACACCTCTGGCTTTTAAACGATTATCTCAGGCTTTACAGGGCGACTCATAGCAGCACACACTCACCATTTTAGCCTGTTTTTATTCTCTTCACTCAGTAATGACACTTCTTTCAGTTTTAACAACAAAATCTTACACAGTGCAGTTCTAACAGAAAATATCATTTATTTATCAGTTTTTGAACACACTGATTTTCCTTTAACCCTCTATTGCACAATGTTGCCTCAGGGCAACAAACTGATTTTCTTCACTTTGCAATAACGTTATATACATTTAAAGACAATGATAGGGTTAACAATGAATGGAGGAGTTTGAGTAAGTCAATAAAAAGCATGTGTTTGATCATACTATCTCTTAGTGGGCAGATTTAAACCTCTTTTTTAACGTTCGGTACCATTTTCTTCTGTTCATGAGAATTTGCAAAAATATAGAAGCAACATTGTGTGACAGTGGAATGGATTTAGCCAGTCAAAATCCAGGTTTCACCACTCCAGGGAACACAGCTCTATACCATGCTTTCCCATTGTCGCACGATGTTGCCTCAAGGCAACATACTCCAAAAGGACTCCTGCACACATTATTGTTTTTTTATGTTCTTGAAATTAATAATCAGGTCAGAGAAAATAAATCAAGGATCATTTTATGCAAGAAAAAGGGTTTCTTTTTTATTATGGAATTGGATTGTCATATCTAATCTCCTCTGAAATCTATCCTGAAAAAACGACTAATCCATACTTAATGGGGGTTTTGACTGAAAATTAAACAAATGAAGCAGATTAAAATGAGTTATCTGGAAAGTAAGCATGTGTTTTTCCAGTAACACACTGTATAACATTTGAATAAATACAAGTAAACATCAATAAACTCAAAAAACTCACGTTTTACTGTGGTCAGTAAACTTGTGATTATATTTGGTAGATAATCACAGGTTTTATTCCTGATGTTTATTGTGTTTTATTATTTATTTTTATTCTAATGTTTGTGTTTTTTGCCCTGCGATGGACTGGCGACCTGTCCAGGGTGTACCCTGCCTTCCGCCCAGTGACAACTGGGATAGGCTCCAGCACCCCACCACGACCCTGAAGGATAAGCGGTTTAGATGATGTGTGTGTGTGTGTGTGTGTGTGCGTGTGTGTGTGTGTGTGTGTGTGTGTGTGTGTGTGTATGTTTGTGTTTTTGAAAAAATTAAATGTTTACTGTCCAAGCAAATTGCTTTACACATCATTTTCTCAGATGACCTAAGACTTTTTCTCACTACTGTATACATTTACAAATGCAGGTGTTGATAGATTTTAATAAAAATCACACTTTATTTATCAACTACAGATTAAAGCCTTTTGCATTTCAGATTAATTCGTCAGTCTTCAGTTTGGAAAGAGGCTCTTAAATTCTTCTGTGACTGAGCAAATAACTGAGAAGTACCGAAAGATAAATAGCAATAAATGTCCGAAACAGCCTTCAGTTTCTGCATCTCATAGCTCATTTGTTTAGGTGTGGTCATTTGATTCCATTGATGTTGGAGTCATGCTTGTATTCTGGCCAATCATCAGCCAAAAAGCATCTTCATGAGTAAATACATTTATATGATTTCAGTTTATTAGTTTTAGTTGACGCAGAGTGAGTTTTGAATCATAACGGCCATGGTTGAGGAGTTTTGCTTCAGGCTTTACCTCGAACTGCAGACGACACCAACAGGCAGGTTGAGGGAACTGCAGGGAGGGGCTGGGGAACGTTTAGCTTTTCACTCGGACCAGTTTACACATATAAC